AAGGATTATAAATCATTCTACTATAAAGACACATGCATATGTATGTTTATTGCAGCACTGTTCACAATAGCAAAGACTTGGAACTAACTCAAATGCCCATCGATGATAGATTGGATAAAGAAAATGTGACACAAAAGCACCATGAAATATTGTGCAGCCATACAAAGGACGAGTTCATGTCCTTTGCAGGGACACGGATGAAGCTGGAAACCATCATTCTCAGCAAACGAACACAGGAACAGGAAACTAAACACCACATGCTCTCACTCATAAGTGGGAGTTGAACAATGAAAACACATGGACACAGGGAGGGGGACATCACACACTGGGGCCTGTCAGTGGTGGCGGGGGGAAGGGGAGAGTTAGCATTAGTAGAAATACCTAATGTAGGTGATGGGTTGATGGGTGCAGCAAACCACCATGGCACGTGTATACCTATGTAACAAACCTGCACATTCTGCACATGTATCCCAGAACTTAAAGTATAATTAAAAAAAGAACATTTGTGATTCATGGGAGGATGTCAAAATAGCAACATTAACAAGAGTTTGGAATAAGTTGATTCCAACCCTCATGAATGACTTTAAGGGTTCCGAGACTTCAGTGGAGGAATCACTGCAGGTGGGGTGAAAATAATAAGAGAACTAGAATTAGAAGTGAAGCCTAAAGATGTGACTGAATTTCTGCAATCTCATGATAAAACTTGAGTAGATGAGGAGTTGCTCCTTATAGATGAGCAAAGAAAGTGGTTTTTTGAGATAGAATCAACTCTCCAGGTGAAGATGCTGTCAGCATTGTTGAATTGACAACAAAGGATTTAGAATATCATATAAACTTAGTTGATAAAGCAGTGGCAGGAATTGAGAGGATTGATTCCAATTTTGAAAGAAGGTTCCCTGTGGGTAAAATGCTATCAAGCAGCATTATATGCTACAGAGAAATCTTTTGTAAAATGATGAATCAATGGATGCAGAAAACTTTATTGTTGTCTTAAGAAATTGCACAACTACCGCAACCTACAGCAACTACCATCCTCATTAGTCAGCAGGCATCATCGAGGCAAGCCCCTCCACTAGCAAAAAGATGAGGACTTGCTAAAGGCTCACAGATTATTATTAGCATATTTTAGCAATAAAGTATTTTTAATTAAGGTATGTGCATTGTTTTTTAGACAATGCTATTGCAAACATAATAGACTACAGTATAGTGTAAACATGACTTTTATGTGCACCGGGAAACCAAAAAAATATGTGAATCACTTTATTGTGATATTTGCTTTATTGCAGCACTCTGGAACCAAACCACAAATCTCTGAGGTATGCCTATAATTTGCATCGATATTTACACCAAAGATATGCAAAGTTCTGGTATTTTCCCACGTGACTCTCCTAAAGCTCATATTCTGTCATTTTTGAATCGCCCCAAACCCTTTATAATAACAAATTCTTTGTGACTTGTCTTAAACTTCTTTAAGTGTTAACATTAACAGTTTTAGAAATTAATGTATGTAGGGAATTCCATCAACTTCCTTTTCACAAATATTAACTGAGCACCTACTGAGTGCCAAGCCATGGAGACACAGAAGTGTACCTAAAGTTCTAGTGATGGGAAACACAAAATAGACAGATAAACAATGATTGTTCATGTAGGCACAGTGCAATAAGGAAAAATAAAGGAACATGAGGGTCTATCAGCTCTTAAGGGTCCTAGAAGCTGTCTCTGAGCAAGAGACATTTGAACTGAGACTGTGCGGAGATAAACAGCTAGAATTATGCAATGAGAATTATCCCAGGTTAACTATCAGTGAGCTAAGACTAGCCCAACCTTCGTCCGCATGGGTATGGCTCTACCAGATTTAAACTCTCCATAAAGTTGGTAGTATCTTCTTCCCTCCCCTGCTCAAGAAAAAGGTTCTGCAACTATTCACAGGTCTCAAGTTTGCCCATTATTGGGCATCTGGCATTCTCATTTACTGTTACAAACCGATGGCACCTAAGTTGACCGCCTGGAGCCCAAGCAATTTTTTTTTCTTTTTGTATAAGGTTGCCTCATGCTTGCCTCATTGTATTAGTCAGGGTTCTCTAGGGGGCAGAACAAATAGGATATATATCTATATCTATATCTATCATATATATATATAGATATCCTATTAGTTATATATATAATATATATATATCCTATTATATATAAAGGGGAGTTTATTAACTCACATGATCACAAGGTCCCACAATAGGCCATCTGCAAGCTGAAGAGCAAGGAGAGCCAGTCTGAGTCCCAAAACTGAAGAACTTGGACTTTGATGTTGGACGGCAGGAAGCATCCAGCATGGGAGAAAGATGTAGGCTGGGAGGCCAGGCCTGTCTAGAGTTTCTTCTGCCTGCTTTATATTCTAGCTGCGCTGGCAGCTGATTAGATGGTGTCCACCCAGATCAAGGGTGGGTCTGCCTCTCCCAGCCCACTGACTCAAATGTTAATCTCCTTTGTCCAAACACCCTCACAGACACACCCAGGATCAATAATTTGCATGCTTCAGTCCAATCAAGTTGACACTCAGTATTGGCCATCACACTCATAAAAACTAGAATACTATCCCTCAGCAGAAGCACAGTGCTCAGGATCAGGGAACCCATATACCTGCTGCTTTCCTGCCACTGAAGTCCAGCCTGCACCAAGTGATACACAGGTATTCACCTACATCCTAGTGACTCCACAGACTTACAGAGAAAGTAAATCATGCAAATATCTGAAGAAAGAGCATTCTAAGGAGAGAGAATAGTCAGAATAAAGCCTGTTGGTATGTTTAAGAAAGAGTAGGAAAGCCATTGTTTGTGGAGCACAGTGGGGAATGGGGAGAGGAGCAGGAAATAAGGGCAGAAAAGCCAGTAGGGCCATAGTAGGAACTTTGGATTTTGTTCCATGTAGAATGGGAAACCACTGGAAAATTGAGAGCAATGCTGCTCACATTGTATTACTATTTTCTAAAGGCTGCTTCTGTCTGTTAAGTGGTGAGTAACTTGGGAGTGACACTAATAAAAAGAGAGAAAACATTTAAAGAGTTATGATAATCCAGGCAGGAGATGGAAGCATTGACCAATTACAGTCCATATATAAAGTATGGATAAATTTTGTGATCGAAAAATTCAAGGATCCCATTTATTATTTTTTAGAAACAACTGATCAATAAGCCTTATCTTTGTTTATTACTTTTCTCACTAGACAATCTACACAATAGCTAAATATCTATGAACTCAATCTCTCATTAAAACTGAACAATAACATCACAGAAGATACTTATCTCCATTTTTACAAGTTCAAAATGATAAAGCAGTAGGCTAAAATCATACTTCTATTAAGCCCTTTCCACTGCATTAAACTGCTTCTTATTAATATCCTGGAATAATTTTTGTTTGTTTTCATTTGTTTGTGTGTTTATTTTAGGCACTGTGAGAAGTATAAAGAAGCATAACATACTGTTGTTCTAGTCATAAGTCTGTAAATAAGAGTACCGGGTATTATGTGAGCAAACATTCAATAAATGTTTTAGAAAACTTCTAAGTGCCCATTGATCCCAAATATTGAGACTATGAGGTAACAGTTATTTTTGCCATTTGAATTCTATATATTTTAAAAAATATAATAGAAAGTCAAAGTCAAAAACAAAATACTGTTTACAACACATGTGACAGAAAAATAAGTAATTCCTAACTGCATAAAGAGCATTTCCAAATCGATGGGAAAAAGATGAACAGCCTCATTTCAATAATTGGCAATAGACCTAGACAGGAAATAGAAGAAATCAAAAGGAACAACAGATATGTGGGTGTATATTCAACCTGCATGATAATAAAAGAAACGTAAAGAGTAATGAGATATTATTTTTTACAAATCAAATTAGGAATGTTTTATAATGGAGATACCCAGTGCTGGCAGGTGTTTAGAGAAAATACTCATATGATACTGTGTTTTTTAAAGTATACTTATTTAAAGCCTTAGAAGTATATGTCCTTTGGCATAGATCTGTGTCTATGAATCAGTTCTATGAAAACGATTATCGATGGGTGTAATGATTTGGTTTCAAAGATTTACACAAAAATGTGTGTTGTGTCTGGGTCCCAATAGGAAACAGATCATACACTCAAACCAGGATGGCTTTAGTTTAAAAGGAATAATTACAAAAATATAAGCTGAGATTAAGAGAACTGCAAGCTATGGTGCAGGAATCATGGGCTAGCAGCCACAAGGTTGGTAGGAGCACTAGGTCTGAAGAGAGGAGAGGAGTGGAATGTTACCGAAACCATAAAAAGGAAGCATTCTGCAGCTCGGGCCATCTTGAGAAAAGTAGTGACTTTTAGCCAAGAGACACAGGTAGCCTGAGTCAACATTTCAGGGAGGGAACCTCCTCCTGCCAGGGCTACCCATTGGCCCAAACCACCCAGAATCATAAGACATAGGCACTGCTTTTCTTAGAGACAGGATCTCTGTCCATCACTCTGGAATACAATGGAGGGATCATAGCTCATTGCTGGAACTTCTGGGCTCAAGCAATTCTCCTATCTCAGCTTCCCAAGTAGCTAGAACTACAGGTGTGCACCACAACGCCCGGTTAATTTTTTTTTTTTAATTTTTATTTTGGTAGATAGGGTCTGGCCATGTTGTCCAGGCTGGTCTGGAGCTCCTGGCTTCAAGTGATCTTCTTACCTAGGCCTCCCAAAGTATAAGATTGTAAGTGTGAGCCACTATGCCTGGCCTCATGGGCACTGTTGATAGAGTAAGTCCACAGAGATCAATTTTCTGGGGTTGAGAAGGATGGTGAGGATATAGGTGCCGAAGAAACATCTCCAGCGGAGCAGCAACATTCAAATTAATAAAAATTTGGAAACCAAATTAATGTTCAACAATATAGGACAAGTTAAATAAACTCGTGTATATCTACATAATGAAATACCATTAGACATTTCAGACGTTGGTGTAGAGATAGAAGTATTGGCCTGTAAAGATACCTGCGTTATTGGGTGGTCGGTGGGTGCGATGGAGGCGACCTTGGAGCAGCACTTGGAAGACACAATGAAGAATCCCTCCATTGTTGGAGTCCTGTGCACAGATTCACAAGGACTTAATCTGGGTTGCCGTGGGACCCTGTCAGATGAGCAAGCTGGAGTGATATCTGTTCTAGCCCAGCAAGCAGCTAAGCTAACCTCTGACCCCACTGATATTCCTGTGGTGTGTCTAGAATCAGATAATGGGAACATTATGATCCAGAAACATGATGGCATCACAGTGGCAGTGCACAAAATGGCCTCTTGACACCTCATATCTGTTCTTCAGCAGCCTGTTACAGGAACTCGATCCTACCTATGTTAATTACCTTTAGAACTACTAAAGTTCCAGTAGTTAGGCCATTCATTTAATGCGCATTGGGCACTTTTCTATTTATTTAAGAGTCAATTGCTTTCTAATGCTCTATGGACCGACTATCAAGATATTAGTAAGAAAGGATCATGTTTTGAAGCAGCAGGTCCAGGTCACTTTGTATATAGAATTTTGCTATATTCAATAAATCTGTTTGGAGGAAAAAAAAAGATATCTGCATTATTTTGTCAATTGAAAAAAATGTTTAAGAGATTAGAAAGGTTGATTACAATCAATCTTTGTTTTAAAAACAAAATAAAACTTCTCGTGTGTGTATATGGAAGCTTTTTGTATAGAGATAAAATATTTGGCCACCTTTAGTTTTGCCAGCTAAGATTTTGAGATAACAAATTTATATTGATAGAGTATTTTTAAAAATCCATCATCTTTTTATATATTCCTGATTTAGTTCAACCTGATTAAACAAAATAACATAGCAATAATGATTGCTCCTCATTCCCATAGACCATGTGGATGAATCCAGACGTGATGCAGAGAGAACTGTTAATGCTACATCCTCTCAGAGTATGGATAGAAGACCTGGCTCAGAAATTGTGCCCTACAGCACAGAGATCATTGGTGAAGAGGCCAGGCAGTTGCACAGTCATTTTGCTTAGACTTGCAAAAGCAATACAGGAGAGAATGCAAGTGCAAAAGACATTAAATTTCAAGTCATTAAAGATTGGTTCCAATATTTACATTTTAGCCAATAAACATTGGCTCCAGACTGGCAAAGCTGCACTCTCTGTAAAGCTCTTGGGTGTAATCCACCTGAGGACATCATGATGCAACAATGTTTGGGTTGTTTGTTTTTTTTCTGTAAAATTAAGGAATGTGATTGAGAAGAATCCTGCTTTATCAGAACAGATTTTTAATACTACTTAATATTTGTTTTTTAAAGGCACAGTGATTTCTCAAATTTGTATTTACTGTGATTGATAAATAACAAGGTAGTCAGATAGATTGCATTAATTATATCTGTTTTATCTATTTAAATAGATTTTCTTCAGTTCCTATCTACTATAAAACCTTGACTTTTGAACTTCAGTTTTGTCTGTCAATAAAGGAAGTTTTGGGAGTCCAGAGGAAGAAGCATCCCTTTGTACCTGAGTGATGAGGAGTGTGTGTGTAAAGGAGCTAGCACTTTCATTTATGATTAACATAGGATTACTATTTGTCAAGGGCTGGGGAAGGCACACGAGGCTTGGTGCTCAATATTTTATACATTTTATCTTGATAAGGATTATTTTTTCTCATCTTGTAGCTAAGAACCTGAAAATCAGATATTCCCAAAGTCACACAACATGAAAGAATTTATGTGTGGTGACTGACACATAAGCATTCAGATAGAACATATTAGCTAAAATAATTACATTGATAAAGAAATGATTCAAGTACGAGTTCAGGAGTTGAATGAAAGTATTTTTATGATCTTTTCGAAGACTAAATTTCTATGATAATAGTACATGGTATGGCTCCATGACATAAAAAAAGGAAATAAACAAAAAACCTTCATACTTCGACACAATAACATTAGGTACATTAGCACAGGCTTCGCATTTCAGCTTCCCTGTGGAGTTTGGTGAGCTTTTTCAGCTGTACTCCCCTCCCATTTCCGATTTTATTTTTTATTGTCTTTTTAAAAAGAGAAAAGTCTGGTTGTCTTGATTATCTCTTATTACTTACAAATAAGAACACACTTTCATTTGCTGAAATTAGATCCCCATTCACTGTGTTGGCACACTCTAGGCTGTCTTCTCCAGAGGGTTTAGGGCCTGTTAGATGGCGCACAGTTGGAAATTGGTGGCACTGAGTCGCTGCCAAGGCTGGCAGACCTTTAAGATGGCATCTGGTGACCTTTTGCTGAGCCCCCTGGGTCCTTCATTTGAGATTTTATGTTCTCGGCAGGGGTGTAATCCAAATCAAATGTGAGATCTGGTGAGCTGGAGTTACATGGGAGGTGGGGCCGGCGGGGGATCCCTACCTTGCTTTGGGCAGAGGATGCTACTAGACGCCTTTGCAATGTTTCTTTCTAACCCTGAGACTCTGTGCTCTAATGGAGGGTGACTCTAATGGGCTGGTTTGCAAAAAAGAGCCCGGTGAGAGAGGGAACGATTGGACAGTTTTCTCCTCATTTATTTATCATCCAGCAACACAGTAATCCTCTCTAATTGCTCTCATTCCTGGATGACACTAAACTCTTCACGGCACCCCAAGAGCAGCAGCTGAGGTCAGAAGTACATATGCGGAAGCTAGCTGTGTCTTGCTTCCAAGATAGTATTGATGGTGTTTTTTGTTTTTTGTTTTTTTGTTTTTTTTCCTTCTTTTGAAATGGCAAATGTCTATTTTCAGTAATATAGGTAGATAGTACACAAGCCTAGGAGAGAGAACTGTGAGTTTGTGAACAACATAACAACCAATGCGTGTTGACAAATTGTTTGTGTTAACCACAGACACATGCCGTTTCTCAGCTAGAGAGTCATTTTCTTGATAATTTTCAAAGTGCTATGTTTTTTTTAAAAAAAAATATAGCTTTTACTTGAAACAGATTTAACAGGTTATTTTTGGTTTTACATCTACAGGAACTGTTTTAAAAGACAGGCAGATACATTTTACATTTCTCAAGCAATTCTGTCCTGACACTGCCCACAAAAGGATCTCGAAGATGATTAAAGCGAAGATAATCCATTGTCCCTGTCTTTATCCAAAAGAGTTAACTCCCTGCCCAATGACCATTTTTGCCTTCAAATCCTGTGTTTCCTACTTTGGTTAGCTGCTCCTGTACTTTCAGCTCCTCACATAATCACAAACTTCCATGGACCTTCCTCTGACTCTACTGCCAATAGGATCTGAGTCTGTGCAATGAAGTAGACAGGTTTAAATCCTGGCTCCACTACTGAAAAGCCATGTAAATAGAATTAGGCCAATCATATCAACTTTCCTGGCCTTAATTTCTTCATCCTAAAATAAGAATAATAGGAACACCTGACTATAGGGTTGATTTAAGAAATATATAATCTAATGTATATAAATAAGTATAGTGTGGCTGTCACATTAAATGTTCAGCAATAATATTATTTTTGTAACCATTGCAAACTATAGTTCTTTGTTTCTTATGAACTTCAAATAGTACTGAATCTTCATAATGTTCATTTGACATTCATTTATATGCTAAGTGGATATGTTTCATATTACTTATGTAAATTTTATACCAATTTGATATTTTATAGAAATACAACATACCTATATTTACATAAAAGTATACATCATCAGTCTACCACTCACTGAATTTTCACAAACATGATATACTCATGCAACAAACACCCAGATCAAGAAACAAAATAGTACCAGAATCACAGAAACCCCATTATGCTTTCTTCTGGGCTATACATCTCCCCTCAAAGGTAATCACTATTCTGATTTCTAGAATCTAGTTTTACCAGTTGTTAGCTTTATTATTTGTGTTATTTTTGGACAACCAAATGAAATTTAAACTTCTTGAAGGCAGGGAACATATATGTCTTCTCTCATTACAAAAAGCATTTGTCAAATATACACTCTCCTTCTCATACTCCTGTCTTGCACTATTATCATTTGAATGTGTTTGTCTGGCAAAGCCCCAGTTCTGTGTAAGCCTCACTGTCTGCCTTCTCTGCATGTCCGCGAGGACTACTGGGTGAAATGCCACTCATCCTCTCAAATTGATTTCACAAAAATCAATGGTCTTTAACCTTAACTGACCACTCAGTTGGCCCAGCCAACCTGTCTTATTTTTCTGATTATCCCTCTTCTACTCTTCATAGCAGCTGCCCCAAACCATCTGCCCTTAATTCAGACTTTCCACCCCATCACTTCCCCCATGAGACCCAAGGTAACCATACCTTGTTATCAGAGAGAAAATTCAAGCTGTCAGCAATTTGATCAACCTGTTGTCATCAAATGTACTAATTTGCCTATATCCTTACCTATTTTTCTACAATCTTACCCTGAGGCTGCCTCTGTTCTCTCAATGACTTCCATTTCCCTTTGTCAAGGTTCATCTTACATCATCAATGATGCCCTCTCCTTTCTGCAGTTCAACTGGCTATTCACCATTGGTGTTTCAATAGGTTAAACTCCCTAACATCTTTGAATATGATAATAACAGTCTTATCTGAAACCCTGTATTCCACATCAATCATCACCCCATCTTTCTCCCTTCTTGCAGCCAAACTTCTTCAGAGAGGTCTTTATACTTCCTGTCTACATTGTTTGTCCCCCCTCTTTCTTCAATCCACTTCAGTCTAGCATCCATCTACATTACCTCATTGAAACTCCCCATACCAAGATTCCTGACTACACCCTTATGGCTAACCCAATGGACCCTTTTCAGAAATTTCCTTTCTCAGCAGCATTTAATACTGTTGTCCTGTCTCCAGAAACATCCTCTTGCTTTTCTACCAAGTCTTCCTTCTAGTCTCCTGATTTCTCTTCTACTTTACTGGGAATTTTTTAAAGCTCTTTTTAAGGCTCATCTTTCCTCTTTAAATGTAGGTATCCATCAGAGTTCTTTCCTAGGCCTTCTTTTCTTCTTGTGCTACCACCACTAAGAGGATGACTATAAAAATACACACATACATTCAAATTATTGCCCATGGTTTGGTCTTATTCAAATCAACAAGTATTGGAGTTCAACAAGTATTATTTAAATCAATGAATATTGTATTTACATAACATGATATGCTTGTAAATGGATCTTTTCCACTGTATCTATAAATAACAGCTAGAATTTATAGAATGCCATGTAGATACAAGGCATAGCTACTTTGAAACTTATTTTTTCTGATTATAAAATAATATTTTCTTATGTAGAAAATTTAGAACAATAATACTATAAAGTATAATATGACATGATATAGTGTAATAGAGGGTAACATAATACCCTGAGTTCTACCACCCAGAGATACTGTTAACTTTCGGCACATTGTTTTCTAGATTGATTAGGCACACACATTATTTACATGCATTTTATACAGTTGAGACAATCATATATTCACTTACTTTTATAAGTGGACATTTACTTGTATCATTAAATTATTCATAATTATTTTAATGACTTCATATACTCTATCATGAGCAAAGAATGAAATAGTAGATGCATCCACCTATTACTCAATATTTAGAGTTT